ACACACACACAACAAACACATAACATACAGCTTTTGTTTGCTGTGTAATAATTCTAGTTTGGGACTTGATGACAAGGCAACCAGCGACAGCCTCTCTAATGAACTGCTGTCAGAACCACCTAACACACCTTCCCTTGACATGAAACTGCATTATATATTCCAGCTTGGCTCTATGCATCACGGCCCTCGTTGTTAAAACAAGCAGGACAGTTGAAGTGGGAAGAAAAGAGAGAGAGAGAAGGAAGAAGGGGAGGAAAAAACAGAGCTACATTAGCATTTCTCTCCTAATGAGTTCATAAGAGTGACCCCTCTGGATCTCACATGAAAAGGAAGATTTCCTGCTGCGTTGTGACCTGAATTCAGTTGTCTCTCACTTTAGATACTCCATTTTGCATGTTATATAAAAGGAGAAATATATCTATACACACGGCATAATTCATCACCAGCGGATTCTGATTTCTTTTCTCCCTCCTTTAAGACTGGTAGTCTATCTCAAGGAAGAAATAAATATTTTAATGGTCTGCACATTGTGGTAAGACCCAAAGTGTTGATGAATTTAATAATGCATATTTAGCTTATTTTGTTTTATATGATGTTTTTCCTCCTCTTGTAAAGTTGGGACAGGATCTCGGTTTCGCATACAGTATGAATTGTGTCAAACAAAATGCTCTTTGTTGGAACAACATTCAGTCAAGGTCCTCTTTAGATCTATTATTGTCTCATCTTTTATCTGTTCTATTTTCATTGCGATGCATAACACTTCAAACAAAAATTACCCTAATTATCTCTTGTTCCCACACTGTGCTGTGTATGTGTGCTGTGTCTGTGTGTGTGAAATCAGCCTAGTCGGTGTTATCATTTGTCCTTATCAGTTACTTAAATGACTTGCCGGGTGATTTCAATGCTGAAATCATTACTCTGCCTTCTATTCCACCTGCTAGTCATACATAACAACTTCCTTCATGTAAAAAAAAATTACAGCCCTTACACTCGCAGCCACCTTCAAGAAAACGACAGGAAACAAACATTAAATTATGATGAAAAGGCTTGCAATTAAAGCCGAGAAAAGACACCATTTATCAAACGTGCAAATCAAACCTGGGGGAGGTCCGGGTTGAGTGATTATTGGTTCAGCCCTTTGATTGGTGGAAGATGAGTCACCTTCTTGAAGGGAAGGAAAGTGTCTTGGGGGTAAGGTGAAGGAAGCGAGAGGCAGGCCTGTGATCTGTTGATTTATGGCAATGTTGTCAGAAGTTTGTCTCAGACAAACTGTCATTAAAATGAAATTATCTCCTTGATGGAAAGGAAGGGGAATTTGTCAGGTTATGTAGATGTATTTAGTTTTGAAGCTTCAATTTTAGAACTGTGGCTGTTGCCGTCTTAGTTGTTTGTTTTGAGGTTTTTTGTTTGTTTTGTTTGATCGGGGGGCCAGCAGGGTGTTAGGTTTATTTCTATGGCCACAAAAAGATTTACGGTTGTGTGTTTTTTTTCCTTTTTTTTGTGAGAAAAAGCATATTTGAGCATATTTGGATATGTGTTATTAGCTATATACTGTGTGGATTCATTGCAAAGACACAAGTACTGGCTACATTTTACTTTAAAAAAATAAAAGTGAAATTGTAGACTTGCTAAAACACAAAATTCTTAGGTAGGGTTTCAATGAATGAAATAACTGAGGTGAAGCCGAGCAGAGAGCTTGTCATGAGTAGGGAAGCTCACACACTTCCGGGGAAGTCTCAAGTGGCAATTTGAGGAACTGCCGGCTTCTTATTTTTAGCCCTGAAAGATGT